TCTCCCCGCCCCCAGCCTGTGACAACATCCCTGATATCAACAGGGAAGTGGAAAGTTCACTGGGGATTTCTATTGGCAAGTAGTTGTTGAGAGCCTCAAGCTAACTAACAAGGCTGGCAGAAATCAAAAGTGAGCATAATCTGGCAAAAAATAACTCTTTCACGATAACAATTATTACAATGACAATGGCGATGATAACTGTCTACCTAACTGTGTTATGATATAACTTTATTCCTATATGAAAACTTTGATTAACTGGGTAAAAACGTCACAAAAATATCAGTCTATTTAATGCTATGATAAGAAAATTATAAAATTATAAGTGTGATAATTATATAACTTTCACATGTATATGTTATAGGTCAAAATTAAATTTAGGTTAAAATTTTTTAACCTACCTTGATTCTCAGTTTCCTTTGTCTCCAGCCCTAATTCCTGAATAATTAGGGCTAGAAGAGAAAGAAAATAGAGAATCAACGTAGGTTTAAAAAATTTTGACCTGAATTTAATTTTGACCTGTAACATAGACATCCCTCCATGGGAAATATATACCCTCTGAAATGGGCAGCTATGTAAAATAAATTGGCGATGACAAATTATTGCCTTCTTAATGACTTGGGTATTACTTTTCCATAGCCTATAGACAATGTACTGTATGAGGAAAAAAAGAAAGAAAAAGAAGTTATCAGAAAAAGTAACATATAGAAACTGTTGATCATGACTGAAAACTGCACTATGATTTTTACGCAAACAACAAGTGGGCAATCAGGATCAAAGCCTCTTATTTTATTCTTATAAAAATCTCTGCAATGTTTTTTGAAGCAAGACAGGCTTAGGTCTTAAGTTCTAAGGTTCACCTGTGTAAAGTAAGTGTCCTGTTAAAATTATCTTGACACACAGTTGTGCTGCAATTCTGTTAAGTGATTAATGCATATACAGGACTCTTACAAGTGTTATTCTTTATAAAGTTATGTTTATTTTTCATTCTTTTGGTGATAGACCTGCATTTTGTATTATTGGGAGACATGGATGAAGATGGATGGCATTGCCTCCTGGACAACATTAATTCAATCCGAAAACAAGATCAGCAAGAATAGTCAGCTTGAACGCAAGGTAAATGAGTTAATCTGAACGTTTTACAGTACCGTGGGACCTTGTTTTAACGAACCTCTATATAACGAAGTCCTCAGTATAACAAGCAAATTATATTCCTGGCCCAAGTATTTGTAAAATATATGAAAAGAACCTTGATATAGTGAAACCTTGTTATGGTAAACATTTTTATTGTTTGTTGCTTAGCCCTTCGTTACACCCGAGGTTCCACTGTAACACAGCATACATAGTGTACATGTACCATGTGTCATGTAGTTCCTTTAACCTTTTAAGTCCCGATAGTGACCAAGATCAATTTTCTCCTAACAATATCCATATGTTACCAAGAGAAATGGTTATGAGAGTTAATAAAATGATCACCTAAGAGAAAATGCTTTGATCTTCTACCAAATTCTCTCAACTTATTCCTTAAGGGAATGTATAAAGACCAGTTTGGAGAATTTGTATGTGGATATTGGGGCTTAAAGGGTTAACACATTCACATTACTTTGTTTTTCATATTGTTCTTTCAAAAATATGTTCTCCAATTCTAGTAGCCTTCTGTTGGCGTAAATATATTTTTAGTCAGTTAGTCACCTATTAGACAATCAAATGGGTAGTCAGTCAGTTATGCAGTGTGCATGTTGTAGTTCAATTTGTTTTTTAGTTCAAAATGGTACCGGTATAACTGAGAGAAACCGATAGCAGACTAGCATAAAACAATAGTCCCAGTTCTTTGCCTCACTCACAAACATTCCTTTGGCTGGTCACGCAGTCTTTTCTCCTCAACGTCAGTGTGGAGAAGGAAAGCATACTGCACGGGCAAGGGAGGTTATGCCCGCTACTCAAGGCAGCTGAAAATGAAACTCTGAATTTTATAAAAAAGAGGAGTTAGAAGAGAATTCAATTTATAGTTTTAAACCAAAAGAAGATGTGACACTGTGAAGCACTGAATAAAAAAAGTAGTATTAGTATTAGTGAGAGTAAAGGTGCCAAAATTCCATTTTTAAGCCTTGGGGATATGAAGAAATGAAGAACCCAGACGAGAAGGTCAATACAGAGGCTTTCCGTGATGCAAAAAAGCTGCACTTAGCAGGGAGGCGTTACTCACCTATTTATACATAAACATAAGGCCTTATCATGGTGTAGCCTATGTAGCAAGCGTTTCTGTGCAGTTTTGGAAAAAAGAACGAGAAACAAGAGTCAAAGAGTGCGACTACGCATATCACTAGGGATATGTGTTTCCCAGGTAGGGGAGCGCATATCACTAATGATATGTGTTCCCCTACTTGGGAAACACATATCCCTAGTGATATGCGTTCCCTTACCTGGGAAACACATATCCCTAGGGATATGTGTTCCCTCACCTGGGAAACACACTTCCCTGGTGAAATGTGTTCACTTACCT